GGTCGAGGCTCCTTATAGCAACACCCGTTCGTCCCTCGTAGCCGTTGTAGTAGTGTGTAACAAGTATAACATTTTGACCTCCAAGGTGGTACCGGTGAAAGATTTCTTCTGTGCGTTGTTGAACAATAAAAGATAGTACTGAATGTACATGCCAATGGCTGCTAAGGGGGAATGAGAGACAAGAGAATTCGGATTTAGTTAACGCGCACGCTGCGAATTTTTTATTGTTTAACAACGCACAGAAGACAAGAAAAGCTTGCTACGTTATACTCACTGGGCGTAACCGTTTTAGAAAGGTTTAGCGAGCGTTGGGCCGCAGTGCCATGAATACAGTGATCTAGTATATACCATTAACTCGAGGTGGGTAAAGGTGGAAAGTAGACACGAAGCGCGAGAGAGAGAGATAAAGATGCAAGGAAAGGCAGGGAGGTTAACCAGACGCACATCCGGTTTGCTACCCTGCACTGGGGAAGGGATAAAGGGGAGAAAAGAGGTTGCAGAGAGATGAGAAGGTACACACAATCACGAGCACACTCGGGGAGCACACACAGTCTACAGGCGGTCGCTCAGGTTTGTTGACTTTAGGTAAATTAGCAGTGCTTTAGTTGCTTTCTGCGCAACTGAGGCAGATGTCCAAGGTCCTAGTATCTTCTGCACACAAAATGGTCCGGGGTCAAGTTGATTCAAAACCATCCGGAGCTGGCATCGCTGTGTGTCGTAGCAAGCGCAGCTGCACAGGACATGTTCGATGGTCTCTTCAGCTCCGCAGTAGTCGCATGTAGGAGTGTCTGCCATACCAATGCGGAAGGAGTACACCTTTGTAAATGCAACACCCAACCAAAGGCGGCATAACGTGTAGTGTCGCATCGGAACGGGAAAGTTGTGATGGTAGTTTTAGCTTGAGCGAAGGATCCAGTTCATAAAATTGACACCTTTGGAAGCTGGTAGACGACCAGAACGTGCGTGTGAGATCTCGAGCCAGCAGGTAAAGTTGTCTTGCTGCATCATTCCTTGATAGAGGAGTCGGGACTACACGGGTTCCTTCATGGGCTGAGCGGGCTGCATCATCGGCTAGTTCATTTCCGGTAATACCGATATGTCCAGGCAGCTATTGATATATAATATCATGCCCTCGTGCTAGAGCTTCATGATGGCAATGTCTTATTTCTTGTACCAATTGGTCGTGACTCCTCCTACGTATGGCAGACTGCAAACTCTGAAGCGCTGCCTTCGAATCACAGAATATTACCCATTTTCCTGGACGTTCTTGAACGAGATATATTAAAGCAGCCCTTATAGCAGCAAGCTCTGATGCCGTAGATGTAGTCATATGCGAAAACTTGATTGTCATTGCTGAGACACGAAGCGCAAGCCGTAAGAAAGTGAGCGTGTGCCTCCTGTCGTTCAGTCCTTGGAATGTCCGCTGGATGGCGGTGCTTCTATATGAGGAATATATGATGAAAAAACTCCCAAGCATTTCCCCGAGGGTGAACATGGTTAAGTGCGAATACACGGGGTGATGCTATGAGGGGTATTTATTAATTCGCACTATTAAATTTATTAATCACACTATGGTGCCTTTATGGTGTAATGGTTCCTTGGAATCGCAATTTGATCACACGGGGGTGTTTACGTTAACTCACTGGCGAATGCCAACGGATTTTAACTTTACTCCCCCTCATAGCATTACCCCGTGCATTCGCACTTAACCATGTTCACCCTCGGGGAAATGCTTGGGAGTTTTATTACTGGAGACTGAGAGAGAAGGCGGGCGCGCGAGAGAGAGGGGTGCGCGCGCAGCTGCAGCGAGCGAGGAGAGCGGAGGAGCGAGCGAAGGGGGAGGGGGTATAAGGCGCGTTACTGACACCGATATCAGCGTCGCGTCCGTGGCTTATTCGGTAGAGCGTCGCGCTGCGGCCCGCCAAGTCCTCTTTCTTTTAAAGATAGAGAGAAGACTGCGGACGCCGCCGACGGCGGTGGATGGTTTGGGGTCACTTATAAAGTGTATTCACACTTAAAAGATGCGAGAAGGTGGTACTTGGAGTGTTGAATTGGTGGACGAACGGACACATAGGCAGATGCATGGGCGGACGCACGGATGGCTGCATGGACGGATGGACGCATGGACGGACGCAAGAACAGATGCATGGTCGAAAGCAGGGACGGACGCACAGATGAACGTGTGAACGCATGAACAGACGCACGCACGGATGGACGCACGGGCGGCCACACAGACGCACGCATGGATGGACGGAAGCAAGAACGAATGGACGGGCTTATGCTTCGCCCAACTATCCATCATTCACTCCGTGGATATGCTGCCATTTTTTTTTTTGGTTCTCCGGTTGTAAGCCTAGAAGATGTGGTCACCTTGATTAAAGAAGTGTCGAAGATAAAAATATTGAATGAAGCGGGCCTGTTGTAAGATGAACTTCAGCATGAAAGAGGCTGTCCAAACACTTCTACGATTGACGAAGCCAGTAGCGGTAGTCCAGTAATTGAATCGGCATTTAAAATGACTGAAAAATCGTCCACGCATCTGAAGACCGTTACTTCGCCTAGATCGGCTTCGCCAAGTAAGCTCTTAAGATGAATGTCAAACTTGGTGTGGTGTGGTACAGCCTGGTATTATGGTCCGAACTAGGTTTAGACTGTTGGTCACGACTACCGCCAATTTTCTTCGGATTCGAAAGCGTCTAGACCTGCCGAAGAAATCGCGATGAAACGTCGTCGGTAAGATATGCATGCGTGTTCGGCGGCCTTGTCTTTGTGTTTTCTGCGCGTTTTCTGTGCATTTTTTGCGCTGTAGTGTACCAGAACTTTGTTCCCTAGGCAAGAAATTCTTGGCCACTGCATCCAGCGCTTTATCCGGCGACGTTGCTTCTCGAGAGAACGACAAATTGAGTACTCCCCTAGGAAGCTGGCCAGTTCTAAATATTCGTCTGATTTGTTTTTGTGCAGACAAAATAATAAAGAAATAACGGCAATAATGTCGCACATCTAGTTGTAGTCGACGCATACGGATAGCGAGGTTTTTGGTTCGCGTTCCAGCGATGCTAATGCAATTACATTGTGCATTACTCTGGAGTTGAACAGGCTTGGTTAGAGTGATTCATAAGAAAAAACGCAAAGCAACGCGGAAGACATGTGTCGGACATGAAAACAAAGCGCAAAACATAAATAAAAAAATGGAGTGAAGTTTGTGTGAGGCCTTCGGGGTATTCTGCGTAACGGCACGTCACGTATGCGTTGCACTGCACTGGATTAGTGAATATGAAAAATTGCAGTAAGAACAGCGAAATTAGATTATTGCAATCAGTGTAGACGAAACTGTTTTTCATCTCTACTAAAATATTTTATCACCGGAATACATGTTGTACTTGCGCAGTTCTAGACTAGAGTAAGCAATGCTTTGTGTCATATAGCATTTGTCGCCGTGTCACATGAGTCATTCGCTCTACTCTTGAGTATCCATGTCAAGTTCTGAAAACCGCGCATAGTACCTGACCAACGCTAACCCTGCGTACATTATTCTAAAACTGTCTATTCCCGATATAAGTTTGAACGACTCGCGGATGTCTGAACAAGTTATGCATCAAATCGAAACCATAGAACATTGATAATCAATAAGAAGAATAAGCCCGCCGAATTTCACATACTACCCACCCCTATGCTTTCTGGTAGCTCGGGGCTCCAGATCGTCAGCGAAGTCGAAACAAGCACCGCGTTGTTGTCATCGTACTACGTAATCTACTTCGACGCTGAGCAACTCCACCCTCATTCCACTTCTTCTCTCCGGTGGTAGTGGTATCTATAGCTCTGCTATATATAAACGAGTTCTATACCTTTTCGTTTGCGGCTATTCGTAGTTATATCTACACTGTATTCGGCTGGCAGCACGCGCTAGCTGAAGCTTCACAGCTGCCAACTTGGAGCCTCTGCTACATGCCTCATCCTCTGTTCGCGCCCGAGGACACGGTCGTCCCTTCTCTTGTATCACCCTCTCCTCCTCTTTGTCGTCCCTCGCCGTTCATGTTCTGTAGCTTGCTGCGTGCCATCGATCTATGCCGAAGCCAAATGGTTGTTTGCGGAAGAACCGGATTAGCGTGGCCTGTGTTCTTGTTCCGCGTTTTCTTGTCTACCGCGTTTTGTAGCAGGAAAACGTGCGCATAATTAACGGTCGCGCAGCGCGTCCAATCACTGGATACCTGCGCCGCCTTGCGGCGAGGCTGCATGCATCTGTTTGTGTGCGTGAGTGTGGGAGGGGGACGGTAGTCTGATGCTAAACTACGACACGCTTACGGACAAGAGCGTTGCGTCCCTTCTTGACATGTGCAATACACTGTTAGAATGAATTGTTGTAAGCAGGAAAAGAGAAAAACTTGCGATCTTGGTGCCTGCTGCGTAAACTTCACGTTTAATGAACTATCGTGGCTTAGACATGATAACATGGCCTCGTTTTAAGCATAATCAAAGAAAAAGAAAACAGATGTAACGCACTTTCGTTTGTTAGTTCTACCTTACTCTAAAACTACCGCAACTCCCTTAATCAGACCCTAGTCCGCCTGGTGGTCGCAAGTAGCGCAGCGCAGCAGCAGTACTTTCTACAAATGAATTTATTAGATTGGGTAGACTCTTATGGCGTCTCCCAAAACACAGGTCATTGCGCCGTGGGTGACATCCACGTGATGACCGAGAGACCGAGCCCTTCAGCCACTTCGAGGGATTGGTGGGCAGACCAGAGTTGTTGATATCACCAGCATGCTTTGATTGATTGATATGCGGAGTTTAACGTTCCAAAACCACCATATGATTATGAGAGATGCCGTAGTGAAGGGCTCCAGAAATTTTGACCACCTGTGGTTACTTGCATGCTTTCGGTGTAGTGTAGTGATTAGTATTGAATGATCATTGTTGAAACACAAATATAGTCTGCCTTTCGCAAACGAAATGTAATACCAAAGGGTTTTTTGACCTGATCTTTCACGTGTTTGATGCAGAAACCACACCGCAGAGACAGTCATCAAACCGCCGCCGACACGAACCAAGAGCCTCAACTTGCTGGAGCGTTTCCGGGCGAGCAAGCAGGACCGCATCGCAGCCAGCGTAGCCCAGCACATCCGGGCCGTGCGAGCCGCCGAGGCGCTCGACCGACGCACGCACCTGCGGCACTCAGTCGAGCCGCTGTTCGGCACCACAACCAAGGTGCCCGCGCAGCGCACCTCCTCCGACTCGCCTCCCGGCGCCCACGAGCGCCGTAGGCTGGTGCAGCAGCAGATCGCGTACGGCGCCGCGTCGGCCTCGAAGCGCGAGGTCTCCTGCCAGACGACGGACGACCTGGTCGAAATGTGGATGCCCTGCCTTCGCAGGCGCATCGCGCGCTCCGAGACGCTCATGTCGACCTTGTCGCCCGACGACGAAGACGACGTGGCGCCCGGTCTCCGACACCGGAAGCTATGCCGTCACGTGCCCTCCGTTAGCGACGACGAGGTTCTGGACGTCGTGTTCCGCGGCGGTAGCTCGCAGCAGCAGCATCACCACCACCTACCGGGCGGCTCGGTCCGGTACGGTCGCAGCGTTTCCAGCAGCGGCTGGTGCTTCAGCGGCCTTCAAGAGCGACGAGTCCCTGCTGGAAGGCGCTTCCTCGATCGTTGAGGAGAGCGCCAGCAGCGGCAGTGAGGACGCCGCCGTCTACAAGAACATTATCATCAGTCTCGGAAGCCCCGACGCGGTGCGAGTGCGTCAGACTCCAGCATCTCCGGTGATAACGCCCCGTCGCGGCAGTAGCGGTGCCAGAAGCATAAATAGCGGCGAAGACGCCATGGCCGCTGCGTCGACGTCTTCGTCCCCGTGGGCTGAAGTGTCGGCCCAACTACTGCTCAGGTCGTACAATGGCAATGCTCAAGGGACCGGCCAACAGCCTTCGTACTGGGCCGGCCCATCGACAGGATGCTCAGGCCAAGAACGCTTCGGCAAGTGAATGGTTCGGCTTTCTCTTCGATGCCCCTTACTGCTGTGGCTGGAACAGTCGCCATTTCAAGGTACCACCGAGTGGTTTGCAGAATAGGGGTTTGTTTGTTTTCTACTTCGGTGAACGTGTCTCCCCCGGCGCTTCCTGATATTCCGGTGAAACTTTTCTATCTATCGAGGCCAACGTTCTCAAATCCGAGACCTGTCCCCTCTCCACCTTCCCACAATGTCTGCCGTTTTCAGACGTGCACCCCTCGGCAAACGTGTGAATTTCTACGGCAACGGATGACGGGTGGCTCTGCTACCGCTGTCCTTGTTGGTGTTCTTTTGTGTGTTATGCGCGTTTTGTGGGAGCAGCGCGTGCGTTTCAAATGAAACGCCCGCGAATCGTGCCGCTCAAGAGTGTCATCACTTCTTTACTTCGGCTCCCAAAGCCTGTCTTCCCGTGTCGTGGGAGAGCACATGCGACATCCGAGAACCTATCTCTCACGCGATTATGAATGTGACCTCTGGCAGCCTCTACCCCACAGCCTATCGTGGTCGACCGTGTGTTCCAGTTTCAATAGGCAAGTGAAAGACGGCCCGTTTCATTGCCGGGTGCACGTGGGAAAACCCTTTCCGTGCGTGTTACGAAATGTCTACACCGTTTTCCTTTCTGTTTACTGAACATCGTCGCTGCCTGAGATGATGCCCACTGTCCGTAGTCAACCTGTGTTATCACGTAGTCTATAGTATGCGGAGTACTAATAACCCCGATACAAAACCTACCATGCACAGACGAGCTGTGAAACTCGAGCAGTTTTCACTATTTTTCAGCGCGCTACTTGTAACCACAGTGATGTTAGCTTTTTTCAATGTCGACAAAGTCGATGCGAGGTCACAGTTTTTTTACTCATCGCCATAAGTGTATTACTTTATTACACAACACATTCCCTGCTTCGTGTGTTGCGTAAGCGAAGAAACAATGCACATTATTCATTTTTATCGCTGCCAATACGAACGACACCGGCGAGAAAGCAGCTTTTCACTCATTAAAACATTCCCAACGTCGTTTCGGATTGAACTGTTTTAAAGGAAGGTGATAGGCAGATAAGTACGTTCATTTTGTTCAGTGCTCTCTTCTTTGTGTTTCTCACAGCTAGGCTTTCATCTATCGCTATTATTTATTGTGGATGAGTCAGTAGGCACCATTTATTTCCGCGTTCAAAAATCAGAATAACTTGCTATGGAAACAATTAGCCCTAGACATGAATGCCGTTCCTTTTTAAATCATGAGTTTATATTGGACGCTGGCATTTGCGTATGTCTTCTGACTATGGTGCTGAATAAAGTAGTCAACATTGAGGTTCATAAAGAATCTGCGGCTAGTATGTAGAGCAGACGTGAAGTATATTTATAAAATTTTGCTTTACCAGATTGCAAAATAATATATTTATATGGTGCATTACACGTGGGAATTGGGGTGACTTTTTAAGGTGTGTTTCCGAAGCTCTAGTGGATTGACTAGTTAAACTTTAACTGAAAGTTTGATTGGAAAGGGCGAACACAATACCCCCTGCCCCTTCCCCCCCCACACACAGAGAAACGCAGACAAACGAACTGATGTCACGAAAATACCAACCCATATCTTTAACAGCTTAACATTGCGCATACGAAATGGCGTCTGCTCTCCGTAGCTCGATGTTGCATCTTTTCTATCCTTTCGATGTTCAAATTACACGTGCTGTTTATCTCTGTCATTGCTGTGTGTGTGTGTTGGCACTTGTAAATACGCAAATCGAAGCAAGCTTCTTTTACCACATTCTTCTTTTCGTGTTACCGTGCTCTCGAATACATGTTTATTCTTTCTGTGCTTATACTGTACCGGAGTATTTCAAAAAACCTCTACACCCTTGTCGCCATTAGCAGCGACTGGAGTGGTGCTCAAGAAGTTGTTAATACCAAGCGGTGATGCGGAAACGTTTGTCACTGGCGAAGAATATACCTTCAGTAGAGCTAGTCGTTTTCATGTTCCTTTCCCTGTGTCGTTGATCCAACGAATAGAAGTGGACGTTTGTGCGTTTTCACTTTTTTTTTCAGGAACCAGCGAATTGAGATCAATGGTTGTATACTGTGAGGGCTGAAGCGAAGTGTCTGCTTTCCGGGGCTTGTCCCTCAGTAACTGTATGGGTTTGTTGTTTAAACCACCAATACTAGTTCTACAAGCTGTTACTACAGGCTTCGTTTGCAGTATATTGATGGGAAGATATGCTACAAGAGACGCATGGTGCAATGATGGCCGACAGGTTCGTCGAGAGCTTATGTGTCGTTGTCACTCAAGACAAGTAAATTCCCTTGCTGGCAAGGCTCTCTCGAGTGGGCCCGACCAGCAGAGGTATGAGTGCGCCATTTGCCGGAGTGCGTTTAAAGACTCTTTGGATTGCGATTGTTCACCAAATACCGGGTTTGTTACACAGCTCAAGTTAGCATTTTTTTTGGCCAAACAATATGTGTTCGCGTGTTTGTCGGTGCAGTATGTACATGTCGAAGCCGGTTCACGCTCTGTGCTCCCAGCTGTGTTGCTTTGCAGTGCAATGTTCTTATCAAAACAGTCGAGCTGCTGTTGTGAAACGTTCAAGGTCCCTCCTATTCCATACACAAACACAAACACTACCTGCAGTATTACTGATACAGTTATTTTTTTTCTCACACTTGTCTTCAACAGGTGGTTTTCAAAGCAGTGTCCTTCGAGTGTTACCATTAGTACACAGAAGCGCTGCAAGTAGGCTTCAGTAAATAACATAAGCCAGCACCAGTGTTTATCCCCATGCCCGTTCAGCAGTTCAGATTGAACAGCGTCATGAACTCGAAAAGTCGGGGTTTCAAAACGGGATAACAATCACGGAACACGAATTGCGCATGAAAATTTTGGTGGTTGATAAAAATATGTAACGCTAACATAGTGACATCTCATTATTGCTGACTGGTGCACCATTAGCTCAATGTTTTGTTTGTGTAGACTATAGAAAGGTGTAGAGTCGGGAATACGACCGTGGTTGTCTGGTGTCTTCTCATTAGTTCTTCATCTACTTTATTCGTCATACGAATTTGATAGGCTGAAAATAATGGTGTCTGTAGTGTATTACTACTGGAATCTCTGGAATCAACTTTCGAATCGACCGTATTGGTTGGCAGACACGTGCGTCAGCTCTCCCGAAAAAGAAAACAAAAAATCAAACAGAAGTTAGTTTGGACTTTTCCTACAAGAGAGTTCTTCTAGTCTAATTCAGCTGCAGGGTGCGTAGTTTTTCACGCTGCACGCAAGTCATTTGCGGGAATGAAAGGTGAACCTGTCGTCAAATTGCGTAAGTGGAGTTTACCTGGCTAGTGGTATAAGGACGTTGCAGTCGATGCAAACCTAGTCTCAGTTACCAGGCGACAGCCCGGACCGTTGCTGTTTCTCACCTATAGTGAAGGACGCATCTGATAGAACAAGACTTGTAAAGTCTGTGTTGTTGTGGAGGTACTCCAATGCATTTATATAAAGAATGTCTCAAAGGTCACGGATATATGTCATTCTGCACATACACTGATCGCGGGAAAAAAAGGGCGAGAACTTGTGAAGTTGGTATCAAAGTGTCGGGTGAGAGATGGATTTTGTATATGTTCTGTACATAGCTATTTAAAAAAAGGAAAGGTCACCATTTCTGTATATAATAGATGGTACGTGCGTCAAGACACCCTGGGGACGAAACCAGTTTGTGTCGTATTCGTTTTCAGACCACGCCGTGAAGCGTTCACTCAAGAATGTGCTGGATCTTGTGCCAAATGTTTCATTGCGGATTTTAGAGTTGCTGTTAGAGACCATGCGTGTTTGAAGTTTTTCACGTTTTCGCGATTATAAACGCTGAACTACAGTTATCACATGTTTGTCCTACGCACCACGTTAAAGAACTGTCATGGTGTGCAAGTTATTAAATGATGAGTGTCAATTCCCTAAGTACACCGATGAAGTGTACTGTGAGTTAAAACTATAAATATGCAATGATCTTCTTCTTTCTTGTTTTTTTAAAGCCAGAAAAATCTAGGTTGTACAGCTCAAGCATCCCCATTTTTTTCTTACGAGGCTCATTCTGTGCACTTTCTTTAGGATTATGTTCGCTCAAATCGTTTTTCATGGATTCAAGAGCATACGCTTGTAAGTATGAAGAAGTATCAAGTCATATTTTAACGCACCTCTTAAGCGATGACCCCAAAGGAACGATACCAATAGTTCTTTTTTTATTCAATAGGAGCTGTGTATACCTGCTCCGCAAAACTTTTTTCACATATGAGTGTCCAGATACACTACCACTAGAATCCATCTTGATCGGCGAGGTGAATGACGCGTTATAATGTTTTGTAACGCGGCTGCAGTTTACAAAACTTTAGGCAATATCTCCATCGTTACCACTGTATATTGTCGTATGCTGCCGAAGACAATATGCACATCATAACCAGTTTCATCCTTCCTGTGATCGCTGTTGAGTGGAAATGAAAACCTGTATACACAAATACAGCTTACGAGAAAAAAAAAGTCGTAAAAGGATATATCAGCCAATCATGATGCGCGATATATGAGTATTTAAGATGGATTACCAATGACAAAACGCATTTACGAATAAGAAGTTTCGCGAATTCTAACCCAGTATTGTAGCCAAAAAAAAAACTGAAATATCTCGTCATTGCTACTATGAAATTCCGAGATTCAGAAAACAGCGTGGTTGTTCTAAGACGCGCGACTTACGACACAACCAGTGTAAGATACCTGCCAGCTCCAAAGCTACGTAGACAAGTGAAATGAATTTTCCGCGTGTTGTGGTACGTCGTTATGTCTCTGAGGGTTCACGCACGCAGTTGGATATAAATCGCTGCTATAGGTAAAAAAACAATCTTAACATCAAGATGAAGACGAAGAGACCTTCTCTATTCACATCACCGATCATGGATAAACGCGACTTGATGCGGCGGCGATCCGGTAACGCGAATTCTGTCACCCGTGCAGATCCTGCAACTTGAACATTTGTATATATAAAGCTTTCTTATTTTGTAAAGTTGGTATGATGCACCTGTATACAGACAAAGGTTAAAATGTGTGTTTAAAACACAAGTTGCCTTGGTGGTCGTGAGGTCAGAGAATCGGTCGTTCTGATTT